GCACGTTTTTCGCTTGCCCATGCCAGCAGCCATGCGCAAAGTCTTTCTTCTTATTCTCGCATCGTACAGTTGCGAGACATAGCATGATGCAAATAAACGTGCAACGTGTCAGGCAACACAAGTGAAAACCCATTTCATTTTCTCACACAACTTTTCCTCCGGCCCACCCGCCCGGCTCAAACCACGAGACAATCCCGTTGGGAGGACCCAAGAGGTAGGGTCTAGGGTCTAGGGTTCGGGGTTTTGGCATGCTTATTGTTCAAAGACCGTGCTTGTGTTGTGCTTCTCTTGTTGTTCTCAACTTAACATTTCATGCAGCATGTTTGAGCACTCAGGTGAGAACGCTTTCAAGACAATCAGTACCGAATACGGCAGATCCGATCTTCAACAGTCCTGTGAGACACAAGACTCTTTTGTCCCTGCGGTTGCAGTCCCGTTTTTGCGGGTATTGGAAAGTGTGACATGGAGGATCTGAAGTCGTCAGATCTCTCGGGTTTATGTTTGTCCTCTTTGCAGCAGCTCCCCTTGAACCGACCGTTTGCACTGCAAAAACATGGCACGTCTTTGCCAACTTCATGCACTTTTACGGCCAGTGTCATAAGTTCTGCAGAAACGGGCTTGCTTGATGACGTATCTGTAACTTTCTGATAAAGCATCCTTTTGAACCGCGTGGCTCTGCTGAGGGCTTGACAGTCTTGAGAATGATTATCCGCATGTGGCCGGTTTGGATCCAAGATCAAATTTTGTGAGTCGGGGGGATAAGACCGTTGGCTCAGCAATGGCAGGAGTGGCTCGCTGAATGTCCGGGGTCAAAAGAACTGCGGACTGGCATGGGCTGGCTTCGGTCGATGAAGATCTCGCAGCGGAAGTGCTGAGATTTTACCATTCCCTCGTGCAGTTTGATGGAGCATTCGAGGATCCGAATGGAGCCGCTGAACTCGTTTCCGAGTTGCTTGGGGATAAGAANNCGCTTATGGAATTGGAGGGAGAAGCGACAGCGGAGAGAACCGCGAACCGCGTCGCTTCTGCAGCGGACGATCACGAGCCTTCCGGTGAAGGTCCCGCGGCAGCAGGTTTATATGCATGAAGTCTTCGACGAAGCAGCTTCTACTACACCGGCTGTGGCGATTGCGCAATTGCAGCGGGCAGTGAAGGTAAGCCGAGCTGCAGGGAGCAAAGATGACCTTGAGACCCAGATGAGAGAGCGCTGGGCGCTTGTTCTGGTTACATATATCAAGGAATCCAAGTTGCCGTGTGCAGCTAGGATGGCTGCGCTTGGTGATCACAATCAGTTGTGGTTGCGAGCTTTCGGAAATCGACGTGGCAAGACATTGCGAAATAGAGCAAGATCCTGGAAGCCCTTCAGGGATTGGCTGATGACATCCTACGGGAAACCTTGGCCAACAGATGTGGGGCAGTTCTTGAAGTACTTGGAGGAACGACATGGGGTGGCACCGCTGGGGAAGACAGTGCCACGGTCTAT